AATCATTCCACCAAAACGAAACAAAAATCCCTGATTTTTCCTTAATTCCTTCACTCTATCATTTTGCTGGTTAATACATAAAAACATTAATTTTGTGTAGGAAAAGTCTCCACTTGCAACGTGCTCCTGAGAGAAAAAGGAAAATGCAAAATACCTAGAGAGTACTGTACTAAAAGAGAGCTCTGGCAGAAACCATGGCAACTCGGGTGGTGGAGGAGAGCTGCATCCTTCTGCTTGTTAATCCCTTCAGGGTGCCTTGATTTGGGCTTTCAGGGACAGATTGTGGATGCAGAAAAGGAGGGAAGAGGTGAGGAGATGCCCTCAACCATCGAGCCACCAGTACTTCTCCCTGGTTAATTTTTTGGTGATATATCCCTGATTATTAGATTTTTTTTTCTACAACATTCCACGAGCAGGAGCTGCCTGATAAAGTTTTGGTGCACTGAAGAGAATATTTACTGCAGAGAATTGATTCCTCAGGCAGGATTTCCAAGCTTGGGTCTCACAGCTGCATCAGCCCAGTGGTGCCAAAGCTGAACGAGGCACCAACACCCTGATTTTGAGAGATGCCCAAAGTCTGCTGGGTATCTCCACACCTGAGCACTCAGCTCTTCTGGAAACCCAGACACAGGGTTTTGGGGTTCCAGAATAACAACTCATCTGTAGGATCCATGAGAACAGCTTGGCACCTCCATGCAGTGAAAATGTCCTGTGGGTAGCAGGATATTCCTGAAGTTCTCCACCTGGAGACTCTCCTCCAGTGTCGCGTTGGTGGCTCCCGTCCTCATCGCTCTCGCTCTTCTTATGGAAGGTAAAATATGAGCTGCTGTGCCCATCAGATGGGAAATCCAGAGTAGGTGTAAGGAGCCAGAAGCAGAGCAGAGCCTTTGCCATGTAAAGGAACAGCAAACAGGAGCAAACCTCCTCTGAAGGCACCACTTCTGCAGCTTCCCATCTCCTCTGAGTTCCAGCCTGGCACAGGCCACCTCCCCAGAGCAGGGTGTCCATACCCAGGTGGCCCCGGAGTCCAGGGACTGTCCTCCAAGCAGCAGAGGGGAACAGGTATGAGGTTCAGCTCATCCCAATCACAGTTAAAACAGGCTGGATGAATTGCTTTGAGGATTAAAGGAGACCAGAGCACCCACTTGAGGAACAGACAGGGGATGGCAAGCTTAGGTGAGGCTTGGCTTCACCACACCAGGGGTGAAGCACTTGAGGGGAAGATCTAAAATGCTTCATTCTGCTGTGATCCCATGGATGCTGGGACATGCCCAAGCAGCACTAAGAGCCTGTTTCCTCAGCCACCACCACCAGCACACACAGCACTGGATGCTCCAATGCCACCCTGAGATGCAAAAGCCCCAACTGAGATGCTCACATACAGGCAACAGCACTGAGAGTATCTTCCTGGAGCATCTTTATCCTTCCTTAGCATTCCTGTGCAAGGAAAGAAAATCTGTGATTCTACCTCGAACCCCTGTGTGTTGAGCAGGCTGGAGAGATTAATTTCCTCCAGCTTTATTTGTCAAAACTGGAGACATCTGGGGAGCCCATCACCCTGAGATCCCTCATAAATCAGCTGGAGATGCTTCCCAGGCATTCCTGCTCTGACCTACTGCAGCCTGTTAGCTCAGGATGAAATGAATCACTCTAATTTCTCTCCTCTGACTATAAAGCATGTCTAGACAAGTAACTCAGATGTTGATACTTAAATCTGGATAAAGTAATTTCACTTTTGGGGTCCATATCTGACTACAGCTCTCCTACTGCCTTGCCAGGGCAGATCACTTCACTTCTGTCTCTCTCACAGTCCCTTCAGCAGCTGCACAGGGATAAAACATTTTATTAGTGTTGTAAAAGCATGGAAAATAATCGCATGGAAGTTTCTGATTAAATCTGCACAGCAGCACAACATTAGAGCAGAATTTAGGTTAAAAAGCACAAGTGTAAAAGGGAACGTGCAATAAGAACCATTTTCTTGGTGCACCAGTCACAAAGGATTGGGTCTTTCCCTAAAATGTTTTATGTTATTTGTCATGGAAGCCGTTTGGTTCACAGTGCTGCCCTGACAGGCTGGGGAGGTCGTTACTGCAATGCTGGTTAAATGCTCTGACAAAGCCTCCTTGGTGTCCTGTGTTAAACAACAAAGGGGGCTGAGGGGGGTTGGCAGAGAGAATTCCCCTTCAGAGCCAATTAGCCTTTGCTTTGGACAGCAAGGGCATGGTGAGGGTTCAAAGAAGAGGGTCAACCAAAAACCCAGAGGATGCAGATCTGCTGTTTATCTTAAAAGTGTGGAAAAATGGGATAATTCCTGGACGTTGTGCTCCTCCTCCCCCCTCCCCTCTTTTCCCTGCTTCTGACAACATGAGAACTCACTCTCACTAATGAAACAAGGAAGATTATCCCAGCTGCAGTTCCAGGGACACGAGGCCCATTATCCCAATTTCCTTCGTAACGGCCTCACACCTGGACACTCTGTCAGGGTCAGTCAATTAAAAGCAGCTTCACAAACCCACATTTCACTTCACAGCTCTTCTCGTGGGGAAAAAACATCAGCTCAGCAACCTGACTCTTCATGTGTTGACATGGCAAGGGCAAACAGCTCCACGCTGTACGACCAACCCCGGCAGTGCTCCGGACAGTTGTCACGTCTTCTCAATTCCCAAGAAATCAAGCTGGCTGTGAACAAACCAGACACGGGCAAATTTTCGCAGGCTACTGCTGTGAGTTCTGTCAGCGTCCAGCTCCGCTTCTCTCCGGAGAAATAAAAAGGAAAAATCATCACTTATCTTGATTGTCGCTCAGGGTTTCCGTGCTCTGAGCTCAGCGTCTCGGGATCAGCCGGACAGGAGGATTTTGAGGAGTGCTGTAGCTCAATCTCAGGGGTCCCTCTCGATTAATCACTGAATTGTATCCTGTTTCATTAGCCACCATCAGAGCACAGTGCAATTAGCACACATTATACATCACAGATATTTATTAATCCTTCATTACACATGGGCTTGTGCTCATGGCAGTGGGAGCCTGTTGATGCACTGCAACTTCTTTTTGCCAGCGGGAAGGAGGCAAGTTGGGTCAGCTCTGCAGGGATTCCCTGCTTGCACAGTGGTCCCCATAAGCTTTAAAGTCACCATTAATTTCTCACAATAATGGCATATATAGGATGAAAAGTAATCCCTGAAAGTCCCCGGAATGGTCTTGAGGGCAGCGTGACGTGTTTGTGATGCTCAGGAAAGGCAGCACCAAACTGGAACACCGAGCAGAAATTCATCTGGTGACTTGCCGAGTGAAAACAGGCAGATTTATGCCTTTGTGCTAAAATCACACGTGGCTGCATACTTGGTTTCAGAGCAAAACCACCTCTGCTGAGCAGAGAACTATCTGGTGACTTGTTGAGTGGATACGGGTGGATTTGTGCCTTCCCAATAAAATCACATGTGGTTGGACTCTTGGTTTCAGTGCAAAACCAACTAAAATGCTGCACGTTTGAGTTCCTTTCTGAGTCTGGTGTTCTGAGAGTGCCCTTTCCCACTGCTGTGAGGATGAAGAGAATTCCTGGACCCAAAGAACCACAATCCCCACGTTACCTGGTTGCACCCAGGGGTACCACCCACAGCACCCAACACCTGTGGGGAGCCTCAGCCACCAGGGAAGCATCCTGCACCTTGATTCTGTGTTCATGGTAACGATGGAAAGCAGTGATTTTTTCCCAGTTTCCCTCCTTAGGGACCATTCTGGCAGGTGCTGTGTGATCAGTGGTAGTTGCCAGGCTGTCCCTTCACCCAGCTGATAACAAGCTCTTACAGCCAGGCCAGACAACACCAGTAGCACCAGGTGGGAGTGACTGGGAGGCAGAAAGCTCTCAGCTCCACAGGTGTAAGCACTGCACAGACACTGCAAACAGGGTGGAACAGCATCACGTGGTGACAAGCACTTAATGACTCCGAGGAAGGATATTAAACAACTCACTGACTGATCTAAAGGCACCTGCTGCTGTGAGATGCTTTACAAAGGGCTCTCTCGACAGGAATATTGTCAGAACCTACTAAAACCATGAAGATGCCCATTGGGAGGAGCTATTTAGTGTTTTTCTGCTGCAGCCTGTTTACCTCAAAATTTGAAGAGGTAAATTACTCTGACACCACTAACAGCCACAGCTGCTTTGATCAGCCAGATGCTACCCAGTTCCAGCAGATACCACCAGACTGTCTTCAGAGGGACCATCAGGTCTGGGAGAGGCACTGACACAGCCTTAAATCCCAGTGTTTCCCTGATTTTTCTAATCATATTTTAAGAAATGGGCGGACAAAACAGAGCAAAGCTTGTGGGGATAAAGTTACAGTCAGAGTCTGTTTCCACTCTTCAGCAGAAACAAAGATAACGTTGTTAATAATGATCATTGGGTTTAGGGAATATAAATCCAACTGTGATTAAATTCTGTTCCCTGAGAGCTAAGCCAGGAACTCAGCTGCTGTCAGGACAGAGATTACAGATGCATTTACACGCCAAAATCACTACAGCCCAATCCTGCTCCTTATTTTGTTTTCAAATAGACATTCAGTATGACTACGAGGAACACAACTTGAAAAAGAAGGCAACTTCAAAAGACATATCCACATACTCATCTTTCACCTCCTTATTCTCCACTTCATGTGGTTTGGATACCTTTGGAGAAAGGGAGGATAATTCCCCTTCTCCAGACTGAGCCAGCAGGAGTAGCCTGGCCCTGGTGATACCTGAGGGAGTTCACCAGGGGCCTTCTGAGAAACAGCTCATCTCATTCTGAAGACAACTGCTGGGTTTGCCAGGTCAGTTGTGTGCCCAGGGGGGCTTATTTCTTTCCACTGAACAACATAAAGGTCTCAGGTGATCTTTACAGATCTCGAGAACTGCAAAGTCAGGTAAACGAACCACGTGCAACCTCGGGAAATGAAATGATTCAGGCGACAGTGTGAGATGAACACCTGGGTCAGCTCTGATTTCTCAGAGCGTTTGCTTACCTAGGATCACAAAGAAACTTGGTCTTTTCACCTTCTTCTCTCCAAATAAGCCATTCTCGGAAAGAGGGATGAACAAACATTCGCGTCATATCTCTACGTTTGATAAGAAACATAGAAAGGTTCTCCATCCTCTGCTGAAAGTCCTCCCACTCCAAAGTGCCCTCAATGTTACCTGCATTAATGGCCTGAAAAATATGTTCGTCTGTTAATGGGTGCAGAGAAGCCACTGCCACATTCAAGAGGGGCATGACCCGGTCAAAGGAAGACTGTGTTGGGAACTTCATATTGCACTGCAGCAGGTACACCTCGGACAGGGACACGGGCACCACCTTGTAGCTGGAGCTTTTTAGCACCAGGTATCCTTTCTCTATGAGATCAAAAGTGAGTTTCAGGTACAGGTAGGACCCCTGGCTCAAGGTCTTGAGGTGAGAGCTGAGTTTGCCGAACGTGGTGTTGTCCATTTTGCCGTTGAGCGAGATGTTGTTCTGGATCTCCGAGCTGCTGTGGATCCGGTGGAGGATGTAAGCCTGCAGGTCCTGGTCGATGGCTTCGTTCTCTTCCAGTCTATCCAAAAATATTCTGTGGAAGGGCAACAGCTTAATTATTTCCTACAAAGAAAGAAAAGAAAAAAAAGACACTCATGCTGCGTTTCTTATTCATTAAGCACATTTAATTTCTATTACAATGGCACCTCTGAGACTCCTTTAAGACCTTCCATCAGGGCAAGCACACGAATGGCAGTTTGTGCCCTCAGGACCTCAGTCTCATCTATAATCAAGTAGGTTGTGTGTGAAACATGACTGAAATTAAAATGAAGGATATTTCCTAACACCACATCCATGGAAAGGGCTGGCAAATCCACACAGTGCAGTGCCCCTGCTATTCCCAACCACGGATCAAATCAGAGGGAATGGACAGCCAGATGACAGATCTGAGGCCACAAAAAAAACTGCTGAAGCTGAAGAACCTCCCTGGGAGCATCCTCCTGCATCCCACATCCACAGGGGCATGGAAACACCAGGACAGATAACAGGGAGTATTTTCCAGTGCAAAGTGACCATGTCTGTCTGCTGGGGGATGCTGTGCCCAGGGAATGGTCACTGGCTGAACTCACTGATGATGCTTCTCCAAATAAACCAAAGATCATCAAAGGCCTTTCCAAAGCCCCTCACGGGCGCTCAGCCACTCTGAGGAGAAAAGAAATGATGCAACAGACCTGGAGAAGGCAAGACTCCAGAGAAGCCATCAGCTCTCCAAGAAAATAAAGAGGGAGAGCACAGGGAGAAGAAAAGCAGTAGTGAAGAACACAGGGCTGCAAAAACCCTAATTAAATGAAGAATTCAAGCCAGCAGGATGCAATTTGCTTACAATTACAAAAAAAGATTTCTTTCAAATGATATTTAATCTACTGCATTACTGAGCAAAAAAACAGACTCCAGCACCACACAGCAGATATCCTGTGCTCTCCTGGATCTTGGGGAGCAGAGAGTCCAGCAGAGAGATCTGTGCTCTCCTGCATCTTGGGGAGCAGAGAGTCCAGCAGAGAGATCTGTGCTCTCCTGGATCTTGGGGAGTGTATCTGCACAGATATCCTGTGCTCTCCTGGGTCTGGGGAAGCAGCTGCCATTCCCAGTGACAAGGACAGTGTGCAGGGTCTGGCTGCCCTGCTGGGGCTGGAACCAGACTCAGCTCCCTGCCAGGAAGGCCACAGTGAATCAATCTGCAGATCTCAGTAAATATTAGCAAATCTCAGTGAAGCTGCTTAATGGAGCTCGTTAAAAATGAACTCCACAGCTCTGTGCTAATGAAGAAATGGCTAATAATGAAAAAATGAGAACCAGAGAGCTGCAGACAGGCCTTTCTGCCTGGAGCAGTCAGGCCAGCTGCAGAGCTGGCTCCCAAATGTGTGTCCCATCCTGCTGACTCTGCCTCCTCTGGGCTCCTGGCTCGGATGCTCAGTGGGAATGTTCCCATCAGTGATGGTGCAAATCAAGCAGCTCTGTTGAGAAACCTCGAAAGAGCAGATCTGCCCCAGCTGGGTCACTGTGCTTGCTTCCCAGCTCCTTCTATTCAGATGAGCAGTTGAGCCAATAAACTAAATTCAGCTTGATCCTTCTGCCAAAAGAGTCACGATGAACAGGTTGAAGGTAAAAACCTGCCCAGCTGCAAACTAAAACAAAAACACTGAAGAATAACCCAAACAACACTCAGCTTAGAGCTTCAGCACCTGCTCACCACAGTCCTTCTGAGCTGAATAATGTCTTGGCCTGCACTGACTCCTCCAGACTGAAATGATCACACTCAGGGTATGAAATCTGAATTCCTCTGCTCTTACACATGGAGCAGAGGATGTTCTCGAGCTGCACAAGCTGACAGACATCAGGCCCTGCCCTCCTAATGGTTCAGTGAGTTAGAGCCTGTTGGCATGTGAGCTGTGCCACAAAATGATCTCAACCATTTGCTGATGAACATTTATTGATGTGAAAAGGCAATGCTGGATTAGATCCATCCAAAGCTGCAGAATGAGTTTGGGGACATGGATGTAAATCCAAAAATTGAAAAGCCAAAAGGATAAAGTGAAATCAAGGGTCTTGAGCAAATCCAGACACCCATCTTTATCTAAGCCCATCATGACAATGACACAATTTATCACTATTCTGGGTCTCATCATACCTGTAGACTTGTCCTGACTGTCACTACCAGCTTCAGCCAGGAAGGAAATTTTCCAATCATTTTGCTCAGGAATGATACTATGGTGTCTCCATAATCTGGCTTGTGAAATTCAGCCTCGTTTAAACCATCAATGAGTATAATGAAATCTTCATCAGGGATCTTCCTCTCTGAAAGAAAAAAAAAAGGCATTCATTGGAAAGGCTACAGACACACGACCATAATGTACTGCAAAGTCACCACAGTGTTTTAAAGCATCACCAGATATTGCTGAAGAAGAAAAAAAATCACAACAGCAGCACCTTTTTCACGATACATTAAATGCATATTGGAAGGGACCTTTCCAGATCATCTTGTTCCACCCCCCTGCTGTGGGCAGGGACACCTTCCACCAGACCAGGTCCAATATGGCCTTGAAAATCCTACAAAAAGCAAATCATGGACTTTTTTTAAACAGGATTTTTTGGCTGCTGGAGAATACAGTAACCCAGGTGGTGCAAACAGTGCAGTCAGTGTTTCCACGTCAGACACCGAGAGCTGGGCATGGTCTTACAACTGATGATTTAGACACTTTTGGACTTGTATCTTAAGCTCAGGTGGCACCTTCTCAAAGGTAACCTTGCCCAATAAACTCAAAACCAGGTGGCAAACGGGACGTCTGAGTCTGCTGTTGGTGCAGTGGATAAATCCTGCTGTCACAGAGCTCAGTATTCCCAACAGCAGGCGAGTTTTTCTCTTTGGCTTTCAACTGCATCAGGAAATTTGCTGTGAAAGCCCAGCACAGAGTGTTCATCGATGACGGAGCCCGCGGCCCCTGGGGTGTTCCAGGAGAACAGACGTGCGCAAACACCTCGCCTTCGGTGCTGGTGTCCCTGCCTTACGTCAACAAGCTGCACTTATTTCCTAATATACTGTAAATATCCCCTATGAAGAACACATATTTTGCATTAAAACGACCCTAGATGCCTTTTCAGTTAACTTCTCAGCAAGATTTTTGGGTACACTAGAAAATTCACTTTATGCCTCTCTGAAATCTTGGAGTGAATGTAGCGCCTGAGTTTTATATCCACATCTCATGTTCCTCATAAAGCCTGAGGGAGAGAGGAGAAAGCAGGGAGTGGGGGAAGAATCAGAACTTTGTTCTCCTATGTATTATTTAGCTTTCTTGTAATTAAAAATATATATTTACATATATATTTGAGAAACATGAATCTTTCTCGGTGACGCTCACCATTAACAGCTGCGCAATAATTTCGTCCCAGTAGCATTAAAGCTTCAACAGCACCTTGTAAAAGACCTGCTGATATATTTACAGAGTCTTAAATGTTATATATCTTAAAACCAATTTCCAGACACTGTTCATCTTGCTGGAGAACACTTGGTGCAAATGAACTTGCCAGCACTCCGGACCAGCAAGGTTGAAAGATGGGAGTCCTGCTCCACTGGAGCTGTGTTGAGTGCAGAGCCCAAGAGGAAAGAAAATAAGGTTTTATATAAAATTTTTCAGAATTTAGGACCAGCTGGGGGTCAACCTGCCTGGCAAAAAAAAAAAAAGCGTCCTCTGCAAAGCTCTGAATTCAAGGGCTGGAATTCAAGTACCTCCCAAGGAGCTGCTGAAACAACCAGGAATTATTTTCCTTTAGAGCAGTGGTTCCTTAAATGTATCTTTTTTTCCTTTGTTCTTTTTGCCAGGAGTGTTGGTAGGAAAGAGCAGCCACGCTCCTCCCACAGTGACATTTCTCCAATGCCAGGAAAACCAAGTGCTGTCGTGCTGTGCGGGCTCTACGTGTGCCTTGTGCCTGCTGGAACCAGGTGGGTTAGACCCAGCTGCTGCTGCTCAGAGCTTGGACACAGTTTTGAGGAGCTGATTTGAACATCAGGGCTTTGAATCTGGTACAATCTGCATCTAATTCCATGTGGGATCCTCCACTGCTGAGCGGAGGGTGGTAACAAAATTATTATGAAGTATTTTTGTGGCCAAGATGCAGCACAGCCACAGTGATAAACATGGTTCTGCAGGACAACAGAGTCCTGAACTCTGCAAGGCTCTGACAGTTTTCATGGCAACCAGCAAAGATCTTAAATTTAGCAATTGTCACAATGAATTACTTATAACTTGCAGAGGGAAGAAAGAAAAGAAGACAAAATCAATGCTGCATTAGAAAAAGCTCTGTAATCAGGATAAGGCTTGTCACCAGTTCCCCCAGAAGCTTTACAGAGGGTGTCTATCGACTTTTATGGTATCAGTCCTCTGGTGAAAGCTTCAAATTCTCTGAAGCCCACTAAAGAGTGGCAGGGAAAGGGAAAAAAGTCACCCCTACACAACTAAATCAGAACATTTTGCTGTAACCACCACTGTGCATGGAAATTGTTGCTTGTTTTCACCTTCAGAACCGTGAGGGTAGGTTTGGGACATGGAAGGAGGCAAGAAAAGGGAAAAACAAGTGTTTCTTCCACAGCCCTGCACACGAGGAGAAGAGGGCTGGTTAACCCCTGTCTTCCCATCAAGCACAGTCACAGAATCACACAGAATGAATGGGTCAGGTTGGAAGGGACCACTGGGCTCTGGGTTAGGGTTTAGCTCTGGGGTGACCTTGTAGCAGCCTTTCAGTACCTAAGAGAGCGGAAAGGGACATAGGACAAGGGCCTGGAGGGACAGGACAAGGGGAAATGGTTTCTCACTGCAGGGACAGATGGGATATTGGGAAGGAATTCTTGGCTGGGAGGGTGGGGAGGCCCTGGCACAGGTTGCCCAGAGGAGCTGTGGCTGCCCCATCCCTGGGCCAGATTGGACGGGGCTTGGAGCAACCTGGGATAGAGGAAGGTGTCCCTGCCCGTGGCAGGGGAGTGCAACGAGGTGTTTTTAATGTTGCTTCCAACCAACATTCTACGGTTCTTCAGATCCCACCTCCTCCCTGCCGCTCTCAGAGCGTCGCAGCGGGATCAATTTATCGCTTCATTTCAACACCCTGACGTGACCCCACAGCGCTTGGGGTGACCAACACCACCACCACCACCACCACCAGCACCATACCTTTGTGCAGGTTCTCCAGGGGCTCCAGGACGCCCCTGCGGAAGGAGGCCATGGGGTCCTGGACGCAGGAGCGCAGGCTGAGCAGGCTCTGCAGGTGGGGCTCGCGCAGCAGCTGCTCCCGGTAGGCCACGAACTGCGGGGAGCGGCACAGCAGGGCGGCCACGTTGTGCACGAACTCGGGCACCAGGCAGGTGTAGGCGTTGTCGGCCTGGCAGTAGTGATAGGCCACGACCTGAGGAGAGAAAAGAACAAACAAACAAACCGCGGCTTGGCAGGAAAGAACATGAGTCAGCAGTGTGCCCAGGTGGCCAAGAAGGCCAATGGCATCCTGGCCTGCATCAGGAACAGTGTGGCCAGCAGGAGCAGGGAAGTGATCCTTCCCCTGTACTCTGCATTGGTGAGGCCACACCTTGAGTATTGTGTTCAACTCTGGGCCCCTCAGTTCAGGAAGGATATTGAGGTGCTGGAGCGGGTCCAGAGAAGAGGAACGAGGCTGGGGAAGGGACTTGAGCACAAGTCCTATGAGGAGAGGCTGAGGGAGCTGGGGTTGTTTAGTCTGGAGAAGAGAAGGCTTAGAGGTGACCTCATCACTCTCTTCAACTACCTGAGGGGAGGTTATAGCCAGGCGGGGGTTGGTCTCTTCTCCCGGGCAACCAACAATAGGACAAGGGGACATGGGCTCAAGCTCTGCCAGGGGAGGTTTAGGTTAGATGTTAGGAAGAAATTCTTTACAGAGAGGGTTATCAGGCATTGGAACGGCCTACCCAGAGAGGTGGTGGATTCACCATCCCTGGAGGTTTTTAAAAAGAGATTGGATGTGGCCCTTAGTGCCATGATATAGTAATTGGAGTTGGATCAGAGGTTGGACTTGATGATCTTGGAGGTCTTTTCCAACCCAACCTATTCTATGATTCTATGAACAAACAAACAAACTGTGTCTTAGTCGGAGCTGTGGCAGCAGCGGCAGCGGCGCTTCCCCCTCAGCGAGGCTGATCCGCCCTGGCAGGTGGAGTCTTTAGGAGCACCGAGTGTTAACGACCCGTGACAAGGATCCAGACGAATCAGTCGGGAAAAACAGGCGCTGATCCTGAGAAATGACTGGCCCTGCCACTTGAGGAGTAAATGAAATTAAGCTGTGGCTGCTTGTGGAGATGGACAGTGACAGTAGCTGACGTCTCCGAAGTGCCGCGCTGAGCTTGGATTGTGCTCCGAGCTCTGTTTAAGGACTCGGTGCCGCTAATGACTTGTGATTGTTTTCTTGAACTTATTTTTTATTTGCTGTTTTTCACATGTCAAGCTCTCTGAGAGCGCTCACTGAGTCCATCACAGCGAGGCAGTGTCTGGGAATGACAGATTCCCGTGATCTGGGGGTTGGGGGGGGGAATGTCAGGCTCACTGTACATTACTCATCCACTGTGATCCTGCTCTTCATTCAAAAAAATCAATTCAATTAAAAAAAAAGAACAAGGAAAATTTCCTCTTTTCCCAGCTTTTCCCTGATTTTTCCAGTTCAGCAAACTCTGCTAGAACCTGCTACATTCTGCCCACTTATTAAAATAAGCAAAAAACCAGTGATATCGTCTCAGGCCAAGCTGCCAACTTTCCTGTTTATTTCTGCAATATAAAAAAGGCCCTCAAAAATCCCTCTCTGCTTGTAAATCCCTCGGGAAGCTGCTCTGGCACCGCTCCAGCTCCTCCTGCTCCCTGGCTGGCTCCAGCCTCGAGCACATCCCATTTGGGATGAGGCTCTGCCAGGGCACAAAGCTTTTCTCCAGCTCCCATTCACTCAGTTTTCCTTTCAAATGTCACTGACTATCCAAAAATATCCCGGCGAGGCAGGTGGGAGCAGTTCTGTCCTGAAAGCACCACTGCCCTGGAGCACCACAGCACAGAATATTGCCAAATAAATTGCATTTTTGAACTTGGGAAGGACAAGATGACTGAGGACACCGCGCACAGGAGATGCTGTGGCCTCTCTGGAGCTCGTGGGAGCTCAGCTGAAACATGCCCGAGGCTTTGGACATGATGAAGGTTTTCTGGCTCTCCACCTGCAACACCCAGCCCTTGGACCACAGCAGGCTCCAGGGTGGTCAAGGATGGTATCAAGGAATGAAAACATCAGGCTGTGGGGTCCTCACCCACTGCTGGCTCAGCACTGGATTTTAATTTTCAACATGAAATTACCACCAGTAATTTCCTTTCCCAGTCAAAACGAGGTGTGACACGTGGAGAGATGAGAAAGCTGAGCTGTTATTTCAGGTATCAAGCCCTAATACATGTGTTTAAGCTTTAATGGATACCTCCAAATTCCTTACAGAATTCTTCCTACCAGCCAGTTAAAATATAATTAATTCCCCTAGAGAAAAGCACTGGGTAAAGTAATAATAAAGGCAGTGAGTGATTTCTTTTCAACAATCCTATTTATTTGGGGATTGTAACTCGTGCATTTCACAGAATAAAGTTCTTTTAACAGCCACTCCTTGATATCAGGTTCCAGTAACAGAAACCAAATTACTCTGATTTCCTACACAATAGGTGTATAGACACAAAAATAAAGTCTCTTTTAATGAGAGGCCAATTAACTTCTTCTAGGAATCTGAAGAGTTATGTCACGGAAAAAGGGACACACATACAGTGACAACCCAATCAATTTAGTGCTCTTCATGTAAATTATGGTTGGATTTGACGATCTTAGAGGTCTTTTCCAATCTTAACAATTCCATGATTCGTGATCCTTGTGCTGGATTTACTGGTGTATTGACTGAGCCTCAACCAGCAGAATAAGTGCAATGCTTAATGGGTGGATCTGAAGCTAAACCAGTAAAGATTTTGGGAAAGCAACCAAAGGAGAGGCATTATGATGTTCTCAGAAACACAACTTGCGCCAAAACTTCATCTTGATGTTATTTATTCCCCGTGACATTTTCTTTATCTTCAGATCACAGAGAGGCTGCCAAAAGCTGGTGCTGCATGTGGAGCCTGGCACTGGGAATTGGGCTCCTCACTTACACAGAGTTGGGTGGGAAACACTTTTCTCACCCTATAAAACTTTCCAAGGTCTCAAACCCTGTTCCACCCTTGGGAATGAGACCGGGTTGACGTGAGAACTGAATGGAAAAGCCTCTAGGATGGAGGTTGGGGTTGATGGGGCTCACCCCGAACTGGTTCACACCCTGTTCCTTCTCCCCTGTATTTGGTGAATTCCTTTAATGCTCCCACTAATGCTCTGGGGAAGGTCCCTTTCCAATTATTTCACCTTATTAATTATTAACTTTATTAACTGCTCTGGGTTCCAGGAAGAGGGATGGATGCATTACCAGCTCCACTGCTTAGGATTCTCTTCTAAGATAGGGGAGACCATGTCCTGACCTTGCTCAGCATCTGAAACAACCACTCTCTGTGCTAATCATGATTCTGGGGTGGTTTTGGTCTCTCCTCCTTTTGTTTGACTGGGTAAGCCAAAAAGTACATCCAAAGAACAGAAAAAAAAAAGACCTTGCATAGCCTGGAAATGAACTTTTCATTGGAAAAGGTGTGCTCTCTTCAATAAAGGTTTCACTTGCAACAGATCTAATAACTTTGCCTTAAATAACTGCTTGAACAAGTTCCAGCCATCCCTTATCATAAACAAAATCCTTGAATTAAACATGTAATTTTATCTAGAAACTGTATTACAGTAAATGAAATCACCAGGGAACAGCCTGTGGTTCCAAAGGTAGGGATGTTGCCATCAGCAAACATTTATTTGTGTCTGATACAATTTAAGACGTAATTTTTCTACCCGTAGTTTCAATTTGAACCTTGTCATCCCATAGCACTAAACACTATAAACACTAAATTAAGACTTTCAAAACTTTTAAACCTTCACTTCAGCTATCAGGTTTGTCAAATGATGTTTACAAAGTCGGAAGCTGAAAAATTCCTTGCTTTAAAGTCTGATTAAATTTAAATCACTGGATGGTGAACGTTAAGTAGACAAGGCCTATAAGCAACCCTAAAGCAAGAAGTGGATTACAAAGGATGGGAAACTAACACCTAGATCAAGAGGAGTGTTCAAAGTACCTGTTCATGTCATTTTTAAGGGCTGAGAACACAGTTTTGGCAAGCTGAGTGACTCCATGCTGAGAAACCAAGGTGTTATGGTTCCTCTATTAAATATCAAATGCCCAAAGTTACAAACTTGTATCAGTTCCTTTCTTGCTTGAAAAGGCTCTGCAAAATAATTCACACTTGTACGATGAGTATTTTACTTCCAGTGATCACCTCCTCCCCTAAACTGACGTGGAGAGTCCAGCTGGCTGCACACCAAAGCAGCACATTTATCATGGTTTTTTTTGGTAGCTCATTTTTTTAAACATTAATTACGTGTTACAGGGCTTGAGAAACACCAGATGGGGATGGCAGAGCACTGCCTCAAACAGACCATGGCCAACATGACCCCATCCCCCTCTGAAGTGGGGTCAGGGAGCCCCAAAACATTCATTTACTCAGATTACACAAACTTCATCTTAACTGCCAAAGCAGAATTATTAAGACATTATTTATATTCCCTCCAGGTGTTAAACCCAGTAGGTTCTTCAGGATTGTCTTCTCCCAACCCTTTCAACACCAGCCATCCTACTCTCCCCTTTCTGCCACAACCACTTCCCATTTCATCCAGCCTCGTGTAACCTTCACCCTCCTGCTGTCACCACCCTTCCTGCCCTCGTTCCATTCAGGTTCCCTCCTTCACCCACCCCTTTCTTGGATTCAGGACTTGGCCACAGTGTCCCATCCTGACACACAGATGCCCTACACCTTCCTGCAGCTCTTCTCCCCACACCAAAATCCTCTTCTGACCCATGGTCATGCAAACCACGCTCCAGAGCTCCAAGGCCAAGCTCTTGATTCCACCTGGCTTGGGCTCAGCTGGACAGATAGGGAAGGATTCCATGAACTCGGGGGAAAAAGGGGAATATCCTCACATGGGTCAGGAATTAGGAAAACAGTTGCTGGAAGAAGGGTGTTAAAAGCAAAACAGCTGTTCCAAGGATAATGAAAATGCTGGTGGAAGAGGAGGAGAAGAGCTGCATGAACACAGCAGGAGGAGAGGTTGGAGAGGGCAAAGGAGAGGGAAAAAACGAGGCACAAAAGAGAATGTGTACAAGCTGTAAAGTACAGAGGGTGAGAAGGGAGTGAACTGTGAAGAAGGAAAAGACAAAAGAGAGAAGGAGAGGAAATGACATGGCAGGA